GGTGGTCAAATTCTTACTTATCTAATGGTGGAAGGATCACCCTACTTAATATCATCCTCACATCTATCCCTCTCTATACCCTCCAAGTGGCAAACATGAAAAAAGCACCACCTTGATGCTGAAGAGAACTTTTAAGAGGTTCCTTTGGGCTGGCAATAATAAAAAATGATCTAGGCTAGTTGGCAAAGAGTGGTCAAACCTTATGAAGCTGGTGGTTTGGGTTTTAAAGGACTACATCATATGCAACAAATCAGTATGAGTAAACTTTGGATCAGATTTAGACAAAATGAATATCTATGGGCAAAATACATGATGACCAAATATTGCAAAAATGATCATCCTGGGGAAGTAACTAAGAAATTTGGAAACTCCAAGATCTGGATCCAGATGCTCAAGAGTAGGGAGGATATTGATAAATTTCTTATTTGGGAGCTGGACCATGGAGAGATCAACTTCTGGAAGGATAAATAGTACCCTGCTGATCAATTGGAGCCTCTGCAGAATGAAAAAGAGGAGGATTTACTTGTTAAATACTGTTGGAGTGGAAATGTGTGGTCTGAGGATGCCTTGAATAACATTATGAAGGATTCATCTGCTAGAAGCATTTCAAAAATCCACTTTGACAGAAATAAAAAAGACTAGATTCAACTTATTAAAAGGACCAGATCCAGCAATTCAAAGGACATCCAAAATAGCTTATTCAGATGGGATGAATTTCAGTGGAATATTTGCACTTGCCAAAAATTCTTAACTCCTTTTATGTTGTTCTTTTCTTGGAGAGTGCTAAATGATTTAATTCTAACTGATGACATACTGAAGCTGAAAGGATTGAAAGGCCCCTCAAGATGTCACCTTTGTAAAAATGATCAAGAATCTAGTGATCATCTCTTCTTCGGATGCAGATTTGTTAGGGATGTTTGGAAAAAGTTGAACTCTAGCATTAACCTTAATTTGATTAATGTGGGCTGGTGAAACATCAAAGACAGTTTAAAAGACTGGCAGGCCATTAATCTAATGTCACTTCCCTTCATTGTTGCCTGGTTTCCTTGGAATGCTAGGAACAAGGTGAAGCATGAGGACATTGGAACTAACACTGATTCTGTGGTGTCTAATTGTCATGCCTACTTACATAAGCTGATTAGTTGGAAGAAGTTCCCCAAGATTTTGAAGGTCCTGCCTAATATTGAACTCAAACAGCTTAAGGTAATCAAGGTTAGATGGGAGAAGCCTCCTCATCCTTTCATTAAAATAAACACTGATGGAAGTTTCACCAACAAGAAAGCTGGTATTGGAGGTATCTTCAGAGATCACACTGGTAAAGCTTTGTTATATTTCAAGATCCCCTATATTGCTGCAGATGCCCTGGAAACAGAAGCTGTTGCTCTTTACTGGGTCCTGAAATTTGCCATGAAAATTCAGTGGAAATGGATTATTGCTGAAGTAGACTCTTCCCACCTGGTGGAGCTAATCACTGACAACATTCCCCCCCCCCCCCCCCC